CTCCTTGCTTGTTAGAGAAGTAAACTGATGAAAGCACTGGATGAGGGTCTATCATCTATGGTCTGTTATAATTTGCTTTTTATGCAAATAGTGAGCAAAAATTAAAGCAAAACTGTACAAGTTACATATATATATGCGAGTTTTCATCCAGTTCAATCATATATATGCTCAAAATCTTCGCGGTAAGTTTCTCTTTACCATAAAATTTGACCGAATAAGTTTCAAAACAATGTGACGGCAAAAAATGCAAAAATCCTGATTTTCGTAATAGAATTTATAGTCTTTTTGCCCTGTTGTACTGCCATCTTGGATTTATCATGTAGGCCCCGCCTGCGCAAGGTATGCGTTAGCAATCTAGATCTCCTATATCTATGGTTCCACAGTACTATTGGTATATGATAATACGGTACTACGATACTGTAGTACTACGGTACTCGGTGGTACTTGACGGTACTATGGTGCTACGGTAATTGTTACTGTGGTACTACGGTCATAAACAAAATTTTGAGTGAGTAAAAGGTTGGGTAAATGAAAAACAAAACAACTCAAGGGTTGGGTAATATTAAATTATTGTCATTACCAAAACATGGGACTCATTCAAATATTGAAGACTTAAAAAGCAATGTCAACAGTCATATGTCAATACAATATGTGAATCAATCAGAGTCACTATCTTGATCATTTGCGATTTGTCAAGAGGCAAATGGTGTCTCCAAAGAAAGTACATGTGCAGACAACATGAAACTTTAGACTGCAGAAAATTTCACAAGCAGTTATCAAACTCGTGTCACAGAAGTGGTAAAGGACATGTGTGACAACTGAATTGTATCCTTTTGTAAAGTTTTTGGCCAGGGGTGGGTATTTATCTTTTAATTGATATTGAAGGTTGGGTAGATTTATCTTCGGTGCCAGCCCCAGTCCTATAAAGTAAAGACCGATCCCTAAGACTGTATTTCCCGCGTTTTTAAAAAGTATTTTTGCATAAATATAAACGGCTGAATTGACTGAATTTTTCAATATTATTTCAATATTTTCAAATATTAGATAAAACTAAAAATTCCCTAGAAATTTCATTTCCTTAAAAATATCATTAAAAGGATCCCAATTTCTTCAGTTTAATTTAAGGAAAATAAACGTGTTTGATACGTGAGAAAAGGTTTACTTGAGGCATAACACGGTGAGCTATCGACTGAGATAACCGGCTGAGGCAGATACACTCGTAAAAACGCACAAGTTGTTACAGGCTGCAAACAAGTTGTTACAAATCTGTTCACAAGCTGTCGAAAAGTTTGGAACAAACTTGATGAGTTGATGGCATTATCAGACTTGTTACAAGGTTGTTCTAACAAGTCTGATACAGTCATGATATAACTTAACAAGAATGTTACAAGGTTGACGACACAAGGTCGTAACACGATTGTTATATCATGACTGTATTAGACTTGTTGGAACAACCTTGTAACAAGTCTGATAATGTCATCAAGCTTGTTACAAGTTGTTAACAGCTTGTTTAAAACTTGTTGACAACTTGGGACAAGCAGTGCGAACACGACTTGTTGACGGCTTGTTGGCAGACTTGCTACAAGATGTGAGATTTTTCAAAACGTGTCGGTAGTTTTCATCATATTCTCAGGGCAATCCACGTGGCCAGCCGAGCTTATGTTCATCTGTTTGCCGATTCCGCATTCTGTACTGGAAACGAGTTTCTGTGGAGATTGTTTGCAGGCTAGTACTGATTAGTTGTCCTTACTTTCTACACTATTTCATGGCCATAATGCTTGTATTCTATATCTAGCTCAGTTGAAAAAACAAGAAGAGCACATGAATGTGTGCCACAATACATTTATTAATAACTGAACCATACTTTAATGCAAGTACATACATAAGTCCATTTTAAGTTTTCTTAGTAAGTGTTTGTGGAACCCAAGTTAGTTTTTACCTCTATTCCTATTTTTCATTTTGCTCTTTACTTTTTATGACACACTGATCTACATACTGATCTACATATTATGATAATCCATTATTTTCCGTTCTGAAAACGAGGATATCTTGTAACTTCAAAGTGTGATTGGCAGCACTGTAACTACAGCGCACAGCTCCACACATTCAAGATATGCTGCACCACATGTTGCTGCTGATGGGACAAAAGCAAGTCCCCCCGAAAACCATGACAATCCGGCAACACACGCGACCCACACTGCATGACAAGATAAAACACATGCTGCTCCAACCGTTGGACCTCCACTGACTGAGTGGGCAAGGAGACCAAGAGTTAGACCCAAGAAAACCAGTTTCTGAGAGAAGATCATTTTGATGAACTAAAAACACTGGATAACAAAAACAGTGAAATAACTTTCAGTACTATGATTTATCAAACCAGATATGTAACTTTGGTTTTTGTTAATTAATTTGTAGGAAATACTTGAAAAACCAGCCTAATTCTCCGTGACAAAGGGCTTATGCTTGAAACGTGGAGAAGATACTTTGATCTTTTATACGCTTGCGTGTATCCATAACGATAATTATGACAATTTCCTGTCCGCGTCCGCCGCTCCTCGTTGGCCAATCCGCACCCGCCTTTTATATCGTCTATGATACTAGTATTGTGTTTTTCAATCAATCAATCAGTCAATAAATTTATTCAAGGTCCAATGATGTTTACACACAAAAGCCTTGCAGGAGCAGCCAGAGTTTAACCCTATATAAGGAACTCCTTCTCAGGTTAACAATTTAAAAATTTAGAGATAGAATACACATTAAAGTAAGTTCATATACCGCTTGAGTTGGCTTTTAATGAATTCGTTTAAAGTAGTTATTTCAACAACTCTGTCAGGCAAACTATTCCCTAAACTGATAATTCTTACGAAAAATTAATACTTATATAACGATTAATTTTAGGTAGTTTAGTGTATATAGTATAAGGCCAAATAAAAAAATACTTGGTTAGCGTCACACTCTCACAAATTTTCAGAGGCGGGCGGGCGGATTTTTTTAAATTTTTACTCGTTTTTAAATTTTTTAATAGTATTTTTGGAGGGGATGGGGGGCGGTTTTTCCACCATATCGGTGATATTTTTTGTACTGATGTTGCGAAGGCCGCCATTTTGCTTTAAGAACCTTGTATACCCAAGCCTATGCGCTCCTATCGATCAGTATATAGCGCGAAGGTCTGAGCATGAGAAAAATTTCAAATATTAAACTGTTTTAAGCTGTAAAACGAAGAGATTTACATAAAAAAAAAATTTTAAAAATTCAGAGGCGGCAGAAAATCGAGAGGCGGGCGGTGACGCTAACCAAGTATTTTTTTTATTTGGCCTAATTATAATTAGATCTAGTATTCCTACTATGTCTGTATTTTAGGACGTCACTAAATGTTATGCCGTTGGGGCCAAAAACTGTTTTATAACACTCTATCAAAGAAAGATATTCTCTACGCTTTTCTAAAGTATCCCATTTTAATACGTCACAACGTTTGTGGTAGCGTTTGTAAAAAAAAGCGTCTGTTTTACTTTACGGACTTTAATTACATGGCCTTTAATGAAAATCCAAATTACCAGCCGAATAATATGGTCTCAAGTTAGCTTGATGAAATCACTTTTACTGACTATTCCGGGCGATAATATGTCAAACCATAGCTCGGTAATTTTGTCGAGGTACATAGTGTTTATCCTGATGTCTAACTATAGTCTAAAGGTCCGTTTTCACTGGCGATTTTTTTTAATATATATTCTAATTCGAAAGCTACGTTTACATTTCTACGGGATAGCTAGCTTTCCATAGCAACGCGAAAAGTTCAAAAGCACGAAAAAGCACCTATCCGATACGACATGTACAACTTTCAGAAGCTGAGCGAAACAACATCTCTCCGTTGCAATAATTCCTCTGAAAATAGCGTTCCTAAAAGGTACAACAGATAGGTGAGGGGCCTGCATGGGTGTACCGGGTTCCGAAATCCCGCTATCCCGACAGCTTTTTACTTCAAATCCCGTTATCCCGCCATGACTCATCCCAATTTCCCGCTCCCAACTTTTTTCTAACACTGTTCAACGTATTATGATTTAGATGTAGACAACGGATAACCGAGTATTCGAAGAACTTGTTGACGACATAGCTGAATACAATTTGAATACACTAGAATACAATACAAGTGCAACAAAGTTTAAAATAATAAATGTCTTTAAATCGCGACTTTTATACATGAAAGCCTCAATCATACATTTAACTGGGGCCAGTGGGGGGACAAATGTTCGATATCATTCTTGAAAACAGTAAATTTCGAGCACCGATGCACAATCAACATTGTTGATTTATCAGTCCAGCTGACGTACATTGGGCTATTCCAATTATTATCCGCACCCCCCCTGTTGAGGAACCCCTTTCTTATGTCGGTACTCCCCTGGAATTCCGCAAATTTTCATGTAAAATTTACCCCTTCCCATGGAAATTCCTTGTAAAAATTACCCTTCCCCATGGAATTTCCATTCTAAATTAGGCCTTCCCCATGGAATTTCCATTTAAATTTGGCCCTGTCCATGGAATTTCCATGTGTAAATTACCCCTCCCCATGGAATTTCCATCATGGGACATCTACTCCTGGAAATTTCCCTCTAACATATGTCCTCCCATGGAATTTCATCCCATCAAATTTACCCCTCCCTTTGGAAATTCCATGTGAGAATTACTCCTCCCCTTGGAAATCCAGAGCCTGAATGCCCCCTTCCCTGGAAATTCCAGGGTTAATGCACCCCCTCCCCTGGAAATTCCAGGGTTAATGTATTCCCTCCCCTGGAAATTTAAAGTTAATTCACCTCTCCCCTGGAAATTCCAAGGTTAATACACCCCCTCCCCTGGAAATTCCAAGGTTAATACACCCCCTCCCCTGGAAATTCCAAGGTTCTTCAACAGGGGGGGGTGCGGATAATAATTGGAATAGCCCATTACTTCCCCGCCGCTATCGTTTTCCATGACTTCTCGCGATGGAATAAAATCGCGCTTCCCCACCAATATTTCTCTTAACCTCCCGAATCCCACTTCAATTTTAGTCGCATCCCGCAAAACGGTACAGGCCATTCATACAGTGTTTTTCACGTCGCTACAAAAAGCTATCAGATTATGGCGGCAAGTGTAAACATAGCCTTAGTTAGGCTGTTCTATTCAAGTCACTGATATTCTGGGTTTTTTCAACAAATAATAATATTCTCCGCAAATTCGTGTCCAAAATCATTTTTTAAAAAGTGTAGGTCTTGATATAATGTTTTTATACTATATCTTAGATTTTGTAAGTAGCTTTTTAAAAACGTTTTCTATTTGCTGTATGCTTCTTCTTCACACGCCCTTCGTGGAAATCAGCTTTAGCTGTTGAGTGTTGGTGTTAGCGTGTTAAATAAAGTTATCTGTCTATCTATCTGAGCATTTTATTGACTGATATATTCACAGTATTCAGTTACCCATACATTTACCTTGATAAAGCCGTAGACCTTCCTTCGACAAAGTCGAGCTGTAACGTATCACGCTATAAATGTTTGGCGGGGCCTTTCACTTTCGGTCATAATGACATGCACATCACCAAATATATTAGCATACTGATTAGGCCCCAAGCCCCTATGACTAGTGGTAACACGGTTCTTCTTTGGTTGTATAGTTCCACAGTACTATTGGTATATGATAATACGGTACTACGGTACTCGGTGGTACTTGACGGTACCATAATATGGTACTACGGTAATTGGTACTGTGGTACTACGGGACTGTGGTACTACGGTCATAAACAAAACTTTATGTGAGTAAAAGGTTGGGTAAATGAAAAACAAAACAACTCAAGGGTTGGGTAATATAAAATTATTGTCATCTCCAAAACATGGGACTCATTCAAATATTGAAGACATAAAAAGCAATGTCAACAGTCATATGTCAATACAATATGTGAATCAATCAGAGTCACTATCTTAATCATATCATTTTGCGATTTGTCAGGAGGCAAATGGTGTCTCCAAAGAAAGTACATGTGCAGACAACATGAAACTTTAGACTGCAGAAAATTGCACAAGCAGTTATCAAACTCATGTCACAGAAGTGGTAAAGGACATGTGTGACAACTGAATCGTACCTTTTTGTAAAGTTTAAAGTTTAAATATTATTTCAATATTTTCAAATATTAGATAAAACTAAAAATTCCCTAGAAATTTCATTTCCTTAAAAATATCATTAAAAGGATCCCAATTTCTTCAGTTTAATTTAAGGAAAATAAACGTGTTTGATACGTGAGAAAAGGTTTGCATGAGGCATAACACGGTGCATGAGCTATCGACTGAGACAACAAGCAGATACACACGTAAAAACGCACAAGTTGTTACAGGTCTGCAAACAAGTTGTTACAAATCTGTTCACAAGCTGTCGAAAAGTTTGGAACAAACTTGATGGCATTATCAGACTTGTTACAAGGTTTTTCTAACAAGTCTGATACAGTCATGATATAACAAGAATGTTACAAGGTTGACGACACAAGGTCGTAACACATTGTTATCTCATGACTGTATCGGACTTGTTGGAACAACCTTGTAACAAGTCTGATAATGTCATCAAGCTTGTTACAAGTTGTTAACAGCTTGTTTAAAACTTGTTGACAACTTGGGACAAGCAGTGCGAACACAACTTGTTGACGGCTTGTTGGCAGACTTGCTACAAGATGTGAGATTTTTCAAAACGTGTCGGTAGTTTTCATCATATTCTCAGGGCAATCCACGTGGCCAGCATGAGCTTATGTTCATCTGTTTGCCGATTCCGCATTCTGTACTGGAAACAAGTTTCTGTGGAGATTGTTTGCAGGCTAGTACTGATTAGTTGTCCTCACTTTCTACACTATTTTATGGCCATAATGCTTGTATTCTATATCTAGCTCAGTTGAAAAGACAAGAAGAGCACCGAATGCGTACAACATTTATTAACAATTCAGCCATATTTTAAAGCAAGTACATACATAAGTACATTTTAAGTTTTCTTAGTAAGTGGTTGTCCAGTCCAATTAATTAGTTTTTACTTTATTCTTATTTCCTGTTTTTCATTTTGCTCTTTACTTTTTATGACACACTGATCTACATACTATCTGTTTTATGATAAATCTATTATTTTCCGTTCTGAAAACGAGGATATCTTGTAACTTCAAAGTGTTGGCAGTACACAAGCGATAGTACACCCAGCGAAACACACTTGTTGTGCCGAATTACATGTTGCTAGTGCTGCCAAAAACCCAGTTCCCCCTGTAGAGGCTGTTATTCCGGCAACACACGCGTTCCACAATATATTACAACCTGCCATACATATTGTTCCAAACCCTGGACCTCCACTGACTGAGGTGGTAAGCAGAGCAAGAATTAGACCCAAGCAAACCAGTTTATGACAGAAGACCATTCTGGTGCACTAAAACCAGAGGATTTAAGCCACTGTACAATGATGATCAGGGGCGGATCTAGGATTTTTCGCACGTTAGTCAAAATTTTATGACGTCATCGATGACGCAAAACGTGATGACGTCATTTGACATGACGTCATTTGATGTCAGGATGATAGTCCAATTTTTGTGGAAGTATAAATATTTTGTTTTATCAAACTACAAATGCGTAAATGACTTAATTTTCGTACCTGCCAATGTTCAGCATATGATATATTAATATATAGACTGTTTCGCCCTACAGTGTATACCTTGGCTCATCAGCATGCCTAGGAAACACGTTTACCAAAAATAGTAAACCATGATCCAACAAGGCAACAAGGACAGCTCCTTCAAAAAGCTGAACACAAGCACAGGTTTCTGGCTCCTTAAAACCAGATTGCTTGCCTTCACACCTTTTGCAAGAGCAAAAGGAGTTTGGCTAGAACTTAGAAATGGGTGATAATAAAATGAACAATGAACACCACCTAAAATGAGCAATCTGGTTTTAAGGTGCCATAAACCCACCTCACACCTTTCACCGCAGCAAAAGGAGCTTGGTTATTTGTAAATTGCCTTGTTTTTCCCTTTAGCCCCTTCCCCAGTCCTCATAGCTATTACTAACCTATGTCTAATCTAATTAAATTCATCATCTTGTTATATACTGTCCACTATGAAAATGTATAATATCACAAGTGAAATGGTGCCTCAAAGCTGCAGCTTCAGTGGAAGCCAACTTTTATTGAAAACAAGTTTGTTTTACCTGGCATTTTAAACATATTTTAATCACAGTCGATTCAAATACAAAATATTTCATTACAAATAACTATTACTTCACTTATCTAGTTATCTGAAATATTAAATTGGCAAGGTTTTTAACACAGTATTCTATTATTCCTATACTATGCTTATACATACTCTATATAGACAGTCACATACTATCAACATGGAGTTTGTCTGTCAGGGCCTGAAATAATGTTCCCAAAGTTCCCGATCATGGTGATCGGCAGTCATGACTTTCCCTGCTTTTTCAGGTTGGAAACCCTGCTTTTCCGCCGATCATAAGCAATTTCCTGCCTATTATTGATTGGTGATCAGTTGTTATTTCAAGCCCTGGTCTGTTGAAAAATTTAACTGGTTCAAGATGCAATGGACCTGTCTCAAGCCAATGAGATCAGACCCGATATTTGGCATCAGCTTTTGTCTACAAAGCCCGAATGTTTGGGGGGGGGGGGGGGGGATTATGGGAAGGTGGTGATCTTGAAAGGCTAAGTTTGGTTGATGATGAAGATCCAAACCCCAGGAAGTTTTTTCTCATGTCAGTGTTGTGTACAAGAGTGAGGTTATTAATTGCTATTGGAGGCGAGAGTGGTCTTTTTGCAAGCCGAGATATTTAACTTTAACCACATGTTCCAGAAAATTTATCAATAACGTTTCCTACAGTACATATGTTAGGAATAATTTCCTGGTGAATTTGCATCATGACCAAGCCAAGTCATTTAATTTAAGTAGTCTTCAACCATAGTTTGCTTATAGCCTTTTAGTGTCCTATAAGTGCCGAAATAGACCTTTCACACTTGCACTGTAAATATTTAAACTATCAAGGTCAAATTAGGTCATTGGTACCTGTCAATGCTTAGGAAACAGAGCTATACAAGCAATTGCCAGTTGCATCAGATCTAAAAATATAACCAAAGATTATATTATTATTATCTTTATAAAGTACATTTGCAGAGCTATTATCAGTCAATCAATACTCTATAAAGCATGTACACAATAAATATTTTTTATCCAACATGATCAAATATTTGAGATCAAATTTCTGCCACTTGAGGTGTTTTAATTTTATACACATAATGAATATGTATGCAGTATATAAAACTTTGGACCTAACCTCGCACAATTATGCAAATCGTACGTTCAATTCAACGATTTATTGTTCAAAATTCAAACCACTTTACCTTATTGCCATACACCTCTTTATAATCTCCTGAAATAGACGACGAGAATTCGAGAAATCAACACATCTCAGCTAGATAGTTTCGGCCAAGACAATTTTCTTGCATCCATCGAATTTATCTGCTTGAAATATTCTCCACAGAACACCAGTAAGCATTCCTTATCGTCACTTTCAAATAACGATCGAACCTTTTCGAAATATACGTCGTTCATTTCGATAATAGTAAATAAATTGCTTGTAAAATTGTACAAAACTGCAATAAAGCTACCAAGTGCACAATGCTTCCAAATTGAAGATTAGAAGGCCAATCAGAGGAGATGTTCTTTAACTCTTTTGCGCAAATTGTCCAATCAGAGGCTGTTATCTATTTGCAGAATTAGTCAAAATAGTCAAAATTTCGCAATCGTTAGTCAAAATAGGTCTGACCAATCAACATGTCTGTAATGTGTAATCTGAGTAAATTTGACCAATCAAATCACATGAACTAAAACGCAGAATAGTCAATTTTCATTTGAATACCGCTTATTTGACTTATCGTTTGACTAATCAATCGCTGGCTCAATGTGCAACTGATCGAAGTTTATATGCTGAAGTGTGATACAGTTTTGATTGCGTGATCAGAAATGAAGAGAAGTGTTTGCGCTGGGAAAAAATTCAAAAACCTTAGTCCAAATTTTTTTATATGCCTTTTTTTTACGTTAGTCGCGTGACTAATCTGACTACCCCTAGATCCGCCCCTGATGATGATATATCTATATTGAATAACAAAAACAGTGAAATAACTTTCAGTACTATGATTTATCAAACCAGATATGTTACTTTGGTTTTGGTTAATTAATTTGTAGGAAATACTTGAAAAACCAGCTGAATTCGCCATGACGAAGGGCCTATGCTTGAAACGTGGAGAAGATATTTTGATCTTTTATAGGCTTGCGTGTACCTGTACAACCCAGAGAATCATTATATATTAATTAATATGTATAACGATAATTATTAACAATTTCCTGTCCGCCGCTACTCGTTCGCCAATCTGCATCCGCCTTTTATTGACACCTGATCTATTCTCATATTTGAATCTGAATGTGAATCTGAAACTCTGAAAGTGAAACTGCGAATCTGAAACTGTAAAGCCGACCGTTTTATAGTTGCAGGTCAGCAGGTGTTAGCGTGTTTAAATAAAGTTATCTATCTGGATATTGACTGATATATTCACAGTATTTACCATACATTTACCTTGAAAGATCGTACACCTTCACCAACAAAGTATATTACAAGTCGACTGAAAACTGTCAAGCCGACCGTTTTATAGTTGCAGGTGTTAACGTGTTTAAATAAAGTTATCTATCTATCTGAATATTTGATTGACTGATATATTCACAGTATTTACCATACATTTACCTTGAAAGATTGTACACCTTCGCCAACAAAGTATATTACAAGTCGAGCTGTTATGACAATATTATTATCACGCCATAAACAATGGTGTTTCAATTGGGGATTTTTGGGATTTCCCCTTGTACACAAAACAAGTATATACCAGATGTGTAACAGGGGACCAGTCATTATTTATCGAGGGGGGTGGGTGGGTAAATTAATAATCTGACTCAACCTAAAATGCTTGATCCCCCTATAAGATCTTTAAATTTCAAGTGAGCATATATATTTTGCTTTAGCCCCTCCCCTCCCGTGGAACTTGTGGACTTCGCTTGGTCATAATAAATTGCTAGTATTGTTGTGTTTTAGTTGAATTTGTTATTATTGTCGGAAGAAGTCGGTCTTCTGTATACTCTCTGTTCTGTGACCAGGAGGCCAGAATACAATGCGACTTAAAATGGTGTCATTTTTTGTAAAACGGTCCATACTAGCCAATGGGGGTGGTACCACACCCAAATATGCCCGTTCGCAGGTTAGGTTGCTGGGCCAATTTTTTTGACCGCGCGCACTTCCAGGAAAGCTGGAAACGATAATGAAAGCGCAGTGAAATTTTTCAAGATGGCGCCGACGGCCAAGGCTGAACAGAAAAAAAGTGATCAGAAAAATGCAACGAAAAAGGAGAAAGATCCCAAAAAGAAAGAAGATGAACCCGAAATGGTAAACTACCTGATATGTTTTATATTTTGTGAAATTTTTGTAGTCTGGGCTTGGTGCTAAAGCAATTTAAAACGGTCTTGAAATAAAGCCATATTTTGCTTTGTTAGCTTTTGTGGTTTGTACTTTTGTACCAAATTTTAAGTTTGTCGCTTCATATCCCTTTTGATTTGTGTTTTATAGACAGAAGAAGATAAACAGTTACTAGAGGAACTGAATATGCTTGTCGAAAGACTAAAGGTTTTGTTAGATTACTTATTATTTTAAATTTTTTGTCTTGCTCTACAGCATGCTGCCAATTGTCTGACTGTCAGTCGAAAACTAATGTTATTACACCGAGAAAGGTGTGCAAGAATACTCTACATAAAGTATTTAATAAGTTTTAAAGAATTGAGTATTTGAGAAAAAACATTAGTTTTATATTTCCTGAAAGCTGAAACTATCGGCCGGCAAAGGCTCAGACTCGGTCGTTGCCCAGTGTGGAAAGTTTGTATCACACAACCAAGATATTGGGTGTGTAATTGTGATGCTTTTTTGAATTTTTGAAAAATTTCCAAACTTTCCAGTCAGGGGCGTTGCAACGTTTTGGTCCAAACATATTGGTCCAAACGTATTTAACATGCCGAAGCATCACATATCTCTTTAAGTGTTAGGGCATCTTCAGATTATTCCAAATAGGTGAAATAACATCTAAGTACAGCATTCAGAAAATTGTCTGATTTTAAGTCCAGTGTGCGAAGTGAAACAACGCTGGATGTGATCTCATGCGTGCAAACAAAATGTTGTGATCTGTGTCATGTGTTAATGGACATATATAGGATGTCTGTGTACATAACTATTATTGGACGTTAAATCGCTGCACTTGATTGCCGTAATTCAGTTTTAACCCATTGAGCATCAGCAGCTCTCCCCATGATCAGTAAATTCATCTGGCATTAGCCAGAGTAAAATGACAAAGTAGGACACAGTGCAACTCAACAGGTTAACTGACAACAAAACTGCATAACTTTCAATCACTCATGCTATTTATGTCAAATTTTAGCCACCATTTAAACAGCGCTCGAAATAGCGGGCTGCCAATGGCCAAAAACAGGCCATATCTTAGAAATGGAAGGCAAAAACAAATTTGAACGGCCAAAGTAAAAAAAAAATTGGCAGGTGAAATTGTATAGATATATTTCATTTCATTTGCTAGATCATTTAGTTAATTAAATATGTTTATATTTGAAATGTAAATCCAAGTTTACTGTACAGTAAAATAGACACGTTTAAAAATAATAAAAATGCATATTGTGAAAACGTTGATTTTTACAATACGACTCAAATGAGACATCGCAATTTTGGCAGTTCAATGAATAAAAATGGACGTCTAAAATTTATTTCACCTGCCAGAAATTTTTAGACTCACAGGCCATATTTTTCTCTAATTCAAGCCCTGCATTGAAACCATTTTGTTCAACTTTCAACTTACATTTTGGCATATGAGCTGCAAAAAAGATCATGCATGCACTTACCATCCTATGGAAACTGGATTTATAAGCAATAACATGACCCATTTTAGGAAGCCAATGTGGAGTTACACAAAGCAAGTTTGGAAATGTTGAGAACACAGATTAAAAGCAGTACAAGTTCAATGACGTCAGTTCCAAAACCGCTGAAGTTTTTACGACATCACTATGGCACGATGAAAGAGCTGTTTGAAACATGGCCTAGTCAAGAGAATAAGGTACATGAAAGTATCCAGTATAAATAAAGTTAGTTTAGTTTAGATAAGATGGTTTAACCCATTAAGCGCCAGTGCTCTCCCTTTGATGAGTAAAATCTTCTGGCGTTAGACAGAGTAAAATACTAAAGTAGGGTGCATAAGGGTGCAATGCGACTCAGTGAGTTAACTAGACACATGGGCAGATAGGCCAGTTAACCCATTAAGCGCCAGCACTCTCCCCTTGACGAGTAAAATCGTCTGGCGTTAAACAGAGTAAAATACTAAAGGTGACTCAGTGGGTTAATAAACACTTTGCAGTTACAGACAACTGAATTAACAAGTTATTTACATGTACATAGTATTATGATAGATCTACATTAAATTTTATAATAGCTAAAAATATTTAAAAGTAGTTTAGTCAGGTTTCTTGTGTTGTTTCAACATTGTGTTGTTTCAACATTGTGTTGTTTCTTAGGCGCTGTTGGCAGATGTTATTTCTATCTTGGCCATGACAATCAGTGAAGAAAGAGAATGTCTAAAATATCACATGTTAGGCTCTAATGATGCCTTGGAATCATGGGGGCACGAATATGTCAGGTATGTAAATCTTCTTCCCTCACTTAAACTTCATTCATTCTTTCTTCTCCCCCCTCCCTCCCTCCTTCCCCCTCCTTCCTTCCCCCTCCTTCCTTCCCTTCTTCCCCCTCCTTCCTTCCCCCTCCCTTCTTCCCCTTCCTT